CGTTGATGAAAGTTGAAAGAGATCAGTATTTATTACGAGGGTCATTTCAAACATGTATAAAAAGATTACAACGAAGAGAAAATACGTTCTTTTAAGCCGGTAAACGAGTAGGCAGATCACCTGATGGTAAGCAATCGGCGCCGCCCATGGACACCTGGAACAACAGAGGCGTTACACGTGCGATACTGGCCTTTGGAAATTGGGAATATGAGGATTGTGGGGTATTTGGGTTTTGGGGAAACTGGGAAGGGTAGTAATTAGGCCTCCGGTAACCTGACTCACACGACGAAACACAACGCAAGCGTTGTTTCACATCGCTTTTTTTTGCGATGCCGTGGTATCACTCCGGTTAAGCCGGCCGATTCATGCCGAAGCATGGCTCTCCCATACTTGATTACCTAAATTAGTACCTATTTTGTAACACAATAATTTAAAATTCCAATAACAGAGAAAAGTAAATTAAATTTAAATGGGTTTTCCGCTGTAGATCGGTAGCCCTAGAACCCATCTAGCTTGCAGTGTCGTTGACATGAAACAATTAGTTGCAGGGGTACGGTGACAAATTAAAAATTTAAACTAAGAGGCGGGGAATTGCTTTGAGAATGCGATGCCCCGGTTTATATACAGTGTTTTGTGTACGAAGATACTTCTGTTAGAGAAGTTTTAGAGCAAAAAGGTTTATAAGTGAATGGAGAGTCGTAATGGAATTTATGTACAATTTTACGTGTTAGAGGTTCATTGAGAAATAAAATATGTTATAACTAGCTGTACCCGCAACTTCGTCTGCGTTTATCTAAAATAAAAGTAGCCAATGTTTTTTTAGTACATCAGCACTAAATGTCCCGCCCGACTAATGCCAGTACAAACAGACAAATATTGTTAAAAGTGTTATTTTGCTATATGTATCGTTTGTATATTTATATGCATGTAGTAAAAAAAAGTAAGCGGTTATTTTAATATTACAAACACACACTCCAATTTTATATACATGTATGTATTATTAAATATTAACGACTGCCTCGTTGGCCGAGTGGTCGTAAGTGCGACTGCCGGGCAAGGGGTCTCGGGTTCGATTCCCGGTTCGGGCAAAGTATTGATGGGTTTTTTCAAATATTCTCAGTAGTAACATGGAGTCTGGAACTGTGCCCGGTATATGGTAATAGACTCACCCCTGTGCACCTCTGCCTACCCCTTAGTTAGGGGATAAAAGGCGTGATGTTATGTTATGTTATTATTAAATAGTGTTGCCCTTAGGGGGTTGTAGAGAACAGATAACATTCGCCATATGTAGGTACTGAATTTTAGTCAAAATCTGGTGTAAGACTCAGTGCTGATCCCAAAACGAATTGAAAACGAAAACTAAAGACAACCATTTTCTAAATAAATCGACCATTATTACAAAAAACAAACAACGAAATTAAATGATATAATTATTATGGAATAACGAAGTCGACTATAATAATCAAAAATTCCTATATGTATTATTAGCGACCCGCCCCGGCTTCGCACGGGTGCAATATATATGTATTATATATATATAAACCTTCCTTAAGAATCACTCTATCTATTAAAAAAAACCGCATCAAAATCCGTTGCGTAGTTTTAAAGATCTAAGCATACATACGGACATACAGCGAAAGCGACTTTGTTTTATACTATGTATTGATGTACTTGGCCCAACTATCATCGATAAACCTAGGTATGCATCCTATATAACACACTTATGACTCACTCAAAGAAACACTAAACCAAACACAACACCACACAAACAATAAATACAATAAAAACAATACAAAACACAACACAATGCTTACAACAAAACATTTTCTTGAAAAACCTCGGTTCCATTTTTTCAATAACGCCAGTCACCTCATGAAAATGAATGAATTTCAGTCCATGAATCGTTATGATATAAAATATAGCCTCACTGTTACAGTATTTATTATTTCAGTGCTCTAACTGTAACATAACGAGCTTTATAAACGATAAATTAAAGATACACACGCAACACATCGAGCTGAAAAAAACCAGTTTATCATAGTCTCGTCTTGTATCATCTTTCTTCACATTTAACAGTCAGCTTATACTGGTTTGAATGACTTGATGTGGAATGTACCAAGTAGGTGTGTTAAGGGAAGAAAATTGTCGTGGGGACCTGAATTAATTGGAGTGCCACCTGTGCATCGATATTAATTATGATATGTATTAATTTATTCTATTTAATAAGTTAATAAGGTGTAATATCGAGTGTGTTGTACCTAGAAAGGGATAGAGAGAGATACAGGTGTATCTTACACCTTTTCTTTAGATGACATTCAGGGTATACAACACAAATATTGCGACTAAACTAGTTTATTACTCACGTGGACTGTTAGAGGAATGTTCTATAGATGTTTTGTCTCACGAGCGCGGGTGTGCCATAATTGTGTGGGTAAATGTACACGCTCATTGTCTTTGTGTGCGTACGCTCGGGAACGCCCAGTTTTGGCCGGCATGCCAATTAATGAGCTTGCTGCATATTACGCACACAAGCGCGCGTGTCTATACGCACTACAACTACTACTATGACTCACCCGCGCTCATTAGATAAACTAAGTATACTAGTTTCAAACTACATCGGGAATCATAGAAAGGTATTTATTGTGATTAAGCTTATCGTGGATAAGTTTTCAATTCGGTCGTCTATAAATACACGGCCTTTAAGAAGATATGTGCAAACATTTCTATTTGTTTGTAGAAAACATCGTCCTATTTTATTTTCGCCAAGGATTCCTAACCTTCTTTTAATCAAGGATCCCTATTACTATTACTTTTTTCAGGTGTTATTTCAAACTAAATTTTTTTTCAGAGTTTAGCATTTGTTCTCATAACAACAGAGACTTTTTATCAGTTATCATCAATTGCTCCTCTCAGATGTTTCTTTTGAAATAAGATTCGTTCTATTTTAAGTAAAATCGCGGGTTACTCACGTGAATATACTGATAAAAGTTCTACTAGTTTCGAACCACAGAGAGGTTCTTCCTCATGAGCAGCGTTCGCGGTCGCTGCGATGTCGCGCAGCCTACTGGCCAGCTTTGGTGCTCGCCTCGGTGTTGCTACTTGCGCTGCTAGTCCAACGCGCCCTCTGTCGGACACTACGAGCGTTTGCTTCTAACTCCGGCGGCGCGTTGGATGATGTTAAAGCACACGGAAAGTTCACCAGCGGCGTGGGTCGTGGGTTCGATTCCGGGGTCGGCACAAAGTATATTCGTATATACATACTAAATTAAGTAAAATCGTGATAACCCGCGATTTTACTTAATTTAGTATGTCTCACGATAGTTATTAAGATTCATTCTAGTTTTAACCGTGGTATTCATTGGAAATAAGTATTGTGTTGTTGTGTTTTGTTTTCTGCGGACCACCGGTTGGGTACCACTGATTTACGAGAACTGAACACAACTCCAAGTTCTGAAGGAACAAGTCTATTCCACAAGGATGGACTATGCGTTTTCGAAGTAACTTAATAAGGTTAATAACTTAACCGTAACTTAGTGTGCCAAGTTCTGGAGGCATTAAGGTTAGACATTCGTGAGCTAAGTTTAGGGTGGTAACTTAGAAACACCCCTTGACCGTATGTGGTCACTGCCACTTAAGTTGGTTGATACAAAAAGTTGAAATTTATAGTTGAGTTAACAATATAACATCGTTACAGGGGATCCGGTTGCAAGCAGGAGTAGGAACGGTAGTTTTAAGTCAGTAAGAGTCTGATACTCCCTCTCGCCTCACCCAAGGCGAAAGAAGACATTGGAATTTGAATGATTTGATTTTTGAGTTGCGAACCGTCAGCAAAGGCATGTTTATCTGCCCAAAGGGGGGGGGGGGGTTACCTATTTCCATTAACATCTCATTTGAAAGGAGTAAATTCAACTAAATCAGGTCTGTGTCACTTAGCGACAGTTTCGTTGCCTAATTTTTATTTTAATGTCCGTCTGGTAGATTATTTTAAATCATTAGACACGTATTTTTTCGACGGTCTATTTTTAGGGAACAGAGAGTATAGTGCCCTAAGATCGGAAAAGGACGATCTCCAGACCCGATGTAACTCTTAAAGAGATGGATCATGGTGGTTGGTTAAAACTGGCGGTAGAGTTATAAATTAAATTTTAACTGTAGTTACGTATTATTTTCGTATATATTATATCGTATTATTATACAAGGTGTAGTTTTGAATCCGTGTCATTTCTCGGGGGCATGTCACAGAAGTCATAAAGGTTCAATGTAAGAGAAAATTTCGGGCCAATAGTTAAAATTACACAGACAGTATTTCAGGAAAAGCGACAGCAATGCTTCTTATTGGAGTTTTATGGAATTAGGAATAATATCTATCAATTACGTGTTTGAGTTTGTGTGTGTTAAGCCACGTTATAAAGCTAGTTACAAGACGGCGGCGTGTAAGTTCACACTTACGGATTTTTGTAATTTACAGGAAAATGATAAATATTTACCTACCATTTTTTTTATTGATTTGGGCTCAGAATCGATAGCCGAGTTACCTCCTAGAAAATGACGCAGCTTTAAAACAACACATTGTATGTTTGGTATTGTAACGAGTGTATCATTATGCCATGCCATGTCGCCATATCGTGGTGGCCCGGAGGCTTAAGACGCCCGTTTCACGTATAAGGGTACGGGGTCGTAACCTACCACTGGCAAGTACCAATGTGATTTTTTTCGAGTTACGTATATGTACTTTTGAAGCTTATTTTTAGACACCACTGAAACACAGTGAAGGAAAACATCGTGAGGAAACCGAAGTATAAATTGTAATTATAAGTTTGAAATCGCCAACCTGCATTGAGCAAGCGCGGTTATTAATGCTCAAATCGTAGAGAAGAGGCCTTTGGTCAGCAGTGGCCACCTATAGGCTGTTGATGTGATGATGTGATTGTAATTAGAGTTGAATATGTACAGTTACTGTCCTATGAAGACTTAACTAAATATTGAACGAAATAACTTACTTCAAATAGGTCTTAGGTCACTGATGCTGCAATTGTAATTAGTCTACAGTAACCAATCACAGATATTCTCTTGCTACCTGTAATAAAATAAAAACAAACGTTAATAAGTTGTACTAATGAGGAAATTTTACAAGTTACCTATACTTTGGATGTATAATTTATTCTTAGAAGACTGAACGAGACAATCAAACGAGATCAAACAAGATTATGTTGACCCATTTCATTTAAACATCGATCAATATTAAGGCAACAATTTACAAGACTGACGAAGAAACGAATAAAAACAAAATTACGCCACTTTGAAGCCTGTACAGACGAGAGACTAAGCATGGGTAGTTTTTACCAGCCACGTGTTTTTTTTTATGGCATAAGCCGGTAAACGAGCAGACGGATCACCTGATGGTAAGCAATCGGCGTCGCCCATGGATACCTGGAACACCAGAGGCGTTACAAGTGCGAGAACGCCAGAAGTGTTTTGGGGATTAGGAGTCTAAAGATCGTTGGGGATTCAGGCATTGGGGAGATTGGGGAAGGGGAGGGTAATTGAGCCTCCGGTAACGTCACTCACACGACGAAACACAACGCAAGTGTTGCTTCACGTTGGTTTTCTGTGAGGCCGTGGTATCACTCCGGTCGAGCCAGCCCATTCGTGCCTGAACATGGCTCTCCCACGCTCTTCAACTATATTACACCTACTCGTGATGTAGTTAAGTCAAGGTTTTGGTAGATATTTCTTTCAATTCTAAATGTTTGTTTTACTCAATGATTTTTTCATATTCAGCGATTATAAAAGATCCCCGTCTACATAGGCCCCAATACGTAACTCCCAACTCGAGAATACATAACACTACTCATAAAATTGGAGTGTCTACTTCTACTCAGTTCCAAATTGTTAAAACAACATAAACTTTCCCTGTCACTTACGACATTATTCTTCTAAAACACTTAAAGGTCAACATGGAGATACAAACTAAATGAAGAGTCTAACTTTGAATCGAGACGCATTTTATCAAATTCTTCTACAAACAGCATATCAAAGTAAATTAGTCTTTCAAATTTATTCATTACATTTTGAACTATACAGTTTTGTGATACGGTCGGAAATGTATTGAAGAAGTTTTACGGTATGGTGTAGCTTGGTATGCTGCCGTTTCCATTATTTGAGACATGATTACTGTTCGTGAAGGCATGACAAAGGTATGTAATATTTTTGTCACATTTAGTCACGCAATGGAAAGAGCTTTGTATCGTTGTATATATGGTATTTGCGATATGTTTATTACTTTGCGAAGTGGTTTGAGAATGTTCTAAAAATATAAAGGTTTTTGTATAGAAAAATATGCTATGTATAACATAGGCTTCTTCCAAATTACTTATTGAAAAAAAAGTCAATCAATTCACCGGAAAATTTCATTCACACATACGCCTTTTATCCCCGAAGGGGTAGGCAGAGGTGCACACAGAAGTAACATCCACTTTTCACTATTTTTGTTATGAGTCCCATGTAATATACTGAGCCTATTGCCATATACTGGGCATATTTCCAGACTCCGTGCTACTACTGAGATTTTTTAAAAAGCCCAGTAATACTTTGCCCTACCCGGGAACCGAACCCGAGACCCCTTGCCCGGCAGTCGCACTTGCGACCACTCGGCCAACGAGGCAGTCACATTTCATTTCTTCTTTAAAAATTCACCGTAAAATGTACTCAACTTACAATTTCCTGCAGAGTCTAATCTGTATCTTGATCAAAATTGATCAGAATCAGATAAGCAATTTAGGAGTGAAAGCGACACAAAGTACAAACACATTCTACATGATTTTATAATACTGGTCACGATTGTATAATAAACTAGGCCTTGTATATAAAACACGTAACTTGAGCCTTGAAAACACTAACACAGTTTAGTCACTAAAAATAAACAAGTGTTGCCACCACGAAGTGAATTTATTGATTTTTAATTAATTTAATTAAAAACAATTAACTTTTCGGGGATCATCTATCGTCAATCAACACCAATAATTACTGTACTTTGTAATTTACTGAATACAAAGTCTAGATTTTAATTTATTTGGCATTGACTACGTTATAGTTCTACTACTACTTAACCAGCTTATCATGGTCCCGCTTTGTATGATTTTCCCGTACATTCAACGGTCAGTTTACACTGGTTTTTGCATAGCTTGATATGTAGCCGTTAGTATGTTTCGTTCTTGGTCATAGAAGCATAATGGATGAAAATTACAGTCTGGGTGTTTGCCTTAATGACTACAATTCACTCGCTTACAATCCACTACTATAAGGGACTTAATGATGTGAGAAAGAGTTGAAAAATGCATACAAAATACAAGTTTGTAACAATGTAATTATGAGTTCCACAGTTCGTTGGAAACGCACGCGGAGCTAGTACAGTCGGCGAGCTGAGTGGTTGACTCGGTAAGGTGGTTTTTATTTGTTCATGTTTCTTTTGTAATTTGTATTTGTTCAGTGTATTAAACAATAACTAGATGTATTTTTTTTTTGTATATTTCATTTAGCGAAAAAGGATAAAGAATTGAATGAACCGAAACATTTTATTACATTTATAAACATGCTAATATTGGTTTAATCAGATTCTAAAATTTTAACATTCCGTTAGTTAATCTACACATACATACATACATAACCTCACGCCTGTCTCCCATGGGAGTAGGCAGAGACTATGGCATGCCAATTACTACGATTCTTACATAACTATTTCGTTTCATCAACAGTCATCAGTTTTTATATGCACGCTCGTCGGTTAAGGATACTTACTTTTATTTATCCCTTCTTTAATCTACACAAACAATTTAAGTCAAATAGCCATATATATTTATCTGTTTTTATAACATTTTAGTGCAATTTCATACTTGGACACGCAAAAAATTCGCCTATAGTACTTTGGTAAAGGACAATTGTATCGAGGTTGTTACAACTTACACAATATCAACCGAAGGCCATGCTAGGCTAGGAACATCAATTCAGTACAAAACACGGCAAACATTGCTTCACTGCGGTGATGTATCGATCTTATCTCGCGACCGCCCGAAGAAAAATAATCCAATATTGTTGAGAAATTAGTCGGCAAACGAGGTAGAAAGCTGCTTTGAGTTTTCAAAGTTGTTTCAATCGATAATCGATAACATTAAATCTTAGTTAAGACATTTTATTTGAGTTAAAAATGCGTTAAGTGATTTATATCGTGCGGAGATAAATTAATCTTGGTGCCGACGCCTAGCTCCGAGATCAAAGATTCCGGTTCAACACAAAGGTACCCGAGCCCTTTTTTACGATGAGCTTCCAAATTTCTAATTAATTCATCAGGTCAGGGTATTATATAAACATTATTGGTTAAGTTTCGACAGCATTCGAACGTGGCGAGTAACTTTTCGATAAAGTTAGGAAAGGTTTACACGAATCGATTTTCGTTGAGCTGCTCACGAAGGTTTTGCTCACCACAACAAACCGTCTACATCTACAATCAGTATGGCAATTTGTTTTTTATTACGTTAATTAGAATAATTGTTTTACCACCATTTTAATTACCAAATTATTTGTAGCTAGCTGTTGCCCGCAACTTCGTCCTCGCAGAATATGAATTTTAGGACATAACATTTTTTTTGCTTCAGGTCTCCAAAATAAAAGTAACCTACGTTATTTCTTAGTACATCAGCTACCTACCAATAAAAGTCCCGTCAAAATCGGTCCAGCCATTCCAGAGATTAGCCACAAATAGCCAGACAGATAAAAATTGTAAAACGTTTAATTTTGGTATAAGTATCGTATGTATATTCATATGTAATCTATAATAAAAATCGGTTATTTTAATGTTACAAACAGACCCTCCAATTTTATTTATCTGTATAAGATTGTCACAATTTTCTCGTTCCTAAAAACTGAAATACATTTTTAATGTCACCGATTTTAACTGCATTTACATTTCGATGCAGCAATAACGGTTCTGTAGAAATTGACCTGTATTAACAAAGTCTCCGGTCTCACCTTCCCTCCACACGTGAAGTCCTAGGTTATCTAGGTAGAATGTCGTGAGGATTCCGAGCGCACTAGAGTTATTACATATTGTACTACCGTCCCGGAATTCCGGAATAAAATTCACTGCACTGAACTAAAGAATTTTATTTGACATTTCCATTCAGTAAATGTACCTTTAGTTAAATAATGCGTGAATTTACGAACGTGTATAATATGTGAAAATGTTGTGTTAATGTTGGTTCAAAATGTCAGTTTTAGTTAGACAGCAAAAGCTTTGGTCTCGAGGGTGTAGTTTGGGCTCGTAGGGGTCAAAGGTGGTACACGCGTTTATGGTGTCGACTGTACCTACTATTGGTCACGTCGCGTGCGTCGTTTGAAAGTCAATTCCTCGAGGACTCGATCTCGTAGAAAGTTTAAAATGAATTTGGTAGGTGCTACATTGTGTGTTTTATTTGGTTACTAACTGTTACCCGCGACTTCGTTCACGTGAAATTATTTATATTTCTTGTTAATTTATACTTTTTTGACGCGATAACGTGTTGATTGGCGAGGCGTATTTGAGAGCTAGTATGAAACGGAACGTTTATTGTCTACTCAAGATGCCGACTACGGTTTGTCTGTCTGTGTCATTAAAATGAATTAATAAATCGAAATAATTTTCGTAATCCGAATTTTGCGGATATATATTGTCGACTCAAAATCGATATTTTTTATGTTTTGTTATTCAGGTAATGTTTCGATCGAGTCTACCGTACCCCTTGACGAAATTATTAATATAGATCTGCAAAAGAGCGGCAGATAATTGACCTAAATAAACATGCATTTTGCCAGTTACACCTGTTATGATTGACTGAAGTGTACTGAACTTTTAGTTTTGAATAGTATTTGTGTAATAACGATTCTATACTGCCCATAGCGAAATACCGGACACAAACCAGGATAAGGTTCCAACTAATTAAGTATGTGTTTATAAACCTTTAAAAACAGCCGTTATTTATATCAGTTGACGTATGTATTTTGACATGAGAAGATGTTTTGATGACAAAAAATATCAAATCATGT